GGGAGGAGGGACCTCGAAAAGAGAGAAGAAAACAAAACGGATTACTTTCTTCTTTTAGGTTATTATGTTTCAGCCCCTATAATTATAATCTTTACCCAAAAAGCCTCATAATAACTAAAATCGCCGTATTTGACTCTCAAAATAGAAAATTAAAATCCGAAAAAGGATAAAGATGAAAACGAATTATTAATTTTTTTTTAATAAGCAAAGATTCCATATTTCGAGGGGAAGAAGAAGAAGAAGCTCAGTCGGCGGCCGGATTAATCAATCGCCCCCATCTCTCCTCTCTCTGTTCCTATCACCGGCGTTGTCATACCTGAATTGCGTTAATAATTGACACTTTTCTGGCGAGGAATCCAAGTGAATTTCAGCACAAAAGATTTGGGTATCTGATGGCGGCGAGCGCAAACCCGTCTGGTAACAATCAGGAAGGTTCGTCGGCGACGCAGAAGGTATCGTCTTCTTCAGCGGCGGCTACAAATGGCGGTGCTGTAAATTCTGTCGATAATGGTGGCAATACAGGCGCGGCGGCGGATAATTCACAGACGGCTGGCGCGTTGAGGCATAACTCAGGGATCTCTACCGATTGGACTCATGAGGAACAATCTCTATTGGAAGATTTGCTTGTCAAGTAAAATTTTTGCTCCTCTCTATGTTTTAGATTTGAATTTGCTGTTTTATCCAATGGTCTTTCCATCTGACTAGATGCAGTGAATCCTGATATTATCTTCTTTTCCATTGCCATCCTGAGTTTTGAATCGGAATATGTGATGACAATTGTTAGCTTTTCGTGGGGTCTTTTTGAATTTATATCTTACTGTTACTGTGAAGAGAAGAAGTGGTATTTGATTAGCTAATTGGAGTTTTCTTTGTGGTTTCAAACTCTCAAGTATGGTAATAAATAAAATACTAAATGACTAGCTGGTGTTGTATCATATTTATGATAGGCACATTAGTATTAGAGCAATGAGAAAAGTTTAGGATTTAATTGGAGGATGAGTTGTCTACTACTTATCAGTAATGATTGGTAAGAGCCTTGTTTAATTCTGTTAGTCCTTTAATATTTTATATCTATCTAGGTACGCGACAGAACCGTCAGTTTTTCGATATGCGAAGATTGCGATGAAAATGAAGGATAAGACTGTCCGTGATGTTGCGCTGCGCTGTAGATGGATGACTGTAATTTCTCGATTTTGCTTAATCCAGCGAGTGATTCTGTTCTTCTTGATTACTCTTCTTCGCACATTGGCGTTATTGGTTCTTACGATTCTTTTTTACCTCCATGTGGTTGCTGATGGATTACAGAAAAAGGAAAACGGGAAGCGTAGGAAAGAAGACCATTCATCGAGGAAAAGCAAAGATAAGAAAGTATGTGGAATTCAATTCCTATTTGCTGCTCCTTAGCGATTTCGATACGATCAAAGCTACAAAATCCAAGGGATATAATTAAAGCACAAACCATAAATTAGCTTGACTGAAATCTAATTTATAACTAGCTAGTAGAACTTTTAGCTGTTTACTTGTGATTTTGGACGGGCGAAAATTCTTAGGTTGTCTGGTGGATCCATGTATAAGTCTACAGAAACTAATTGACTGTCTTTCACATATCTGTTAAGCAGGAAAAAGCTACAGATTCTTCAGCCAAGTCCTCATCTCATTTGAATGTGCATCCTAATGGTCCATCGTATGCTCCGCCTATGATGCCTATAGATACCGATGATGGTATTTCATATAAAGGTTTGTTTAAAAATCTTGGTGTTTTCATTTTAAAGGTTAATCTTCTATAGATTGAAGTAGAAGGAGCCTAACTGTCATGGCTTTATTGCAGCTATTGGTGGTGTGAGTGGAGATCTTCTCGAGCAAAATGCCCAAATGTTCAATCAAGTTACATCAAATTTCTCAGCTTTCCAGGTGAATTCAACTTCAAATTTTCAGCTTGTAAGTTTTTGTATAATTTGCTGGGGGGTTTTGGACCTGATCTGTTTATGTGCCTTGTTTTGTTTGCTTTTGAGTAATCTTTGGGTTTTATGATCGATTTTATATCTAATTTGTGTACTTATCAAAGATTCTTTCCTATTGCAGCTACATGAGAATGTCAATATCTTGAGCAAAGCTCGGGAAAATATCCTCGCAATCTTGAATGAGTAATACATTTACCTATATATCTATAGATCACTTCTATGTCAATGACTCACTCTGGGAAATGCCATTCTTTCCAACAAAGTTTTGGAGCTATTATAATGTATTAACTTGAAGCTGATTGAACAATTGGGTTGCAGCTTGAATGACATGCCAGAGGTTATGAAGCAGATGCCACCTCTTCCGGTGAAGGTGAACGAAGAGCTGGCAAATTCGATCCTCCCTCCTCGCCCATCCCATCAAATGAAGCCATGATCAAGCAGATCGATGGTTGGTTCTGACCAAGGAATCTCTTTAATCCGGGAACAATGAAGAAAAGGAATAAATCGCGGGATAGAGAGAGCTCCACTCGTCTGGTTGATAGAATGAGGGTTTTCCCCTGACTCATAGAGTTATAGTCTCTTTTGCAATTTCTGTCAGTGTCTGGATGTTTTAGCAAATGGTTAATTGATACAAGAGTAGGGTTCTTATCGATGTTTAGGATGTGAATAGATTTCAATTGGTATGGTATAAGTTTCTGTATAAAATTGGTTTCGAGCTGAAAGGTTTGAGATTAGAAGGGGTATATCCTAAAAGCGCACAGCCGTGATGCATTTCATATACAACCCACTTCTTAGAATTAAACGAACCACTCTTGCCGAATGTTTTGTAACACAAATGTAAGTCTGAGAGCCAAAACTCGAAAGGTGAGTAGTTTACAAAAACAAAAAGTTTTAAGTTTAGAAGATCATTCCAAGCATCTTAGAAGTTCCGAGTGAAGAAGATGGCATCATCGCAACTCTATCACAGATGAGCCAAGTCATTGATTAATTTGGGCTTGGAAGCTTCCGAATAGTCTTCAACTCTCAACCTACAACAAGACACAATGGTGAGCAAGGAAAAAGATGTATATAGAAAATGCGAGAGTATGACAGTTGTGATATGCTCGCTTATGAAATCCTTTCATCCTACAAGAGAGTGGAGTTAATATACATGATTGAAAAAGTCAAGCAAAGTGCAGAAGAATCATATCAAGGTCCAAACACAATGAGCTACGACTAACTACTAATGTAACTTCAAGTAACAAGAAGGTGTGAAACTACTTTTGTTATTGAAATTCACCAAACTAGAGAGACTCCAAAGCAATTATCCAACCAAACTCTAGACAACTAAAGTAAAGGACGACAATTTAATTGAGGCTTATATAGGCAGTGGTGGAATCTCAACTCTTACTTTTAATCTCTGGAAGCTCTTGAATTTTCAGTTGATTAGACAATTTTCGAGAAATTCAATGAATAATGAGAAATTGAGAAGTAACCCCCCTACCAAGAGATTTATATGAAACTCAGATCACATGGATAGCTTGATTTAGCAATCAGGGTTACAATATTATCTAACTAACAATCAATCATATCCATAGCTACAAATGGAGAGAGAGAGAGCTGACCTGAGCTGGACTCGGATTCTCATAACCAGCAGACTCCAGACCTGAAACTCTACCTTCTAAAGCATTGAATTTCTCCTTCATCTGCAGCATTGAAACCTCATATATCAGAAATCGAAACAATTTTGTTCACGATTTCCAGGATCGTTCGCATCAAAACTTTCCCAAAGGATGATTTTAGAAAACATGGAAATAATAAATTACATCAGAGGTTATAGCGAAACGTTCTGCATAGAGATCACGCCACACGAGATGAGCAATGGAAGCTCCGCTGACGGAAAACCCAACCGTAAACCAGAGAAGGCGAGTTCTCAACATCTTCTTCTTCTTCCGATTTCTGCAATGTCTCCGACGAATCTCTCTGACGCATACGGTACAGAGTCGTCATCACCCATTTGGGCTTTGCTATATGGGCTTGTATTGTAGCCCATTATACCAAACAAAGTTAAAGGATTCAAGTTTTTTTATAATCGAACGCTCAGTTCCCTCAGCTTAGACACACTCTAATGTAGAAGACCAATGCAAATGGTTAGATTATCTGATTATGTTTGGTATAATTCAAGTCTGAGTCGTTGATTCAAGTTTTTGTTTTTTCGTTGATTTAAGTTCAAGTATCCGTCACTCACATTTTCTGTCTTTCTTATGACTGGGTTGGAACACACACTTATACTGTATTTGGGTATGTAGAATCCAAGTTTGCTTACTAGTAAAAAAGTCTATCATGGCCAAATACAGTGGAGGGACTTAAGTTGACTTTACACAGTGAAAAATAAAGATCAACATTAAAGAACTTCCAAAACAAAGAAAAAGAAGATATCATTCAGATGATTAGTCAATAACTTGTTCAATACATCACACTGTCCTATCCAAGATAAATATCGATGGTAGCAAGAAGATAAAGAGAGATGTTTAAAAGTAAAAAGAAATTACTTGTTCAAGAACTTTCTAACTTCTAACCCAATAGCCGTCAAGGCCAAAACAGCGACGGCAAAACCGTAACCCCCGTTCCAAGCAGAACCGGCTTTAGCCAAATGAATACCGTAGAATATGTTAGATATAGCTAGTATCATCAGAATTCTCCCAATGTTATGATGATACCAGTTCCAATACTTTCTGTACTTGGATTGCTTATCCGGTCGAGCTAGCAATGCCACCATCTATAAACAAAAACCGAGAGTATACCGACTGATCATTTTGAGTGTTCTTCGTATAGTATATACTTTCAAATTATGAGAGTGTTAGAAGAAGAGGAACCTGGAGAATGCCCATGACGAGTATGGTTATGCCAAGGCCTTTGTGCGTGGAAACATTATTGGCCTTGAGCCGGTTTTCAAGAACCAAACCGCAAATGACACCAGTTAAACCGAGGAGAAAACCAGTGGTTTGGAAAGCAATATGGGCATAGAACCAAGTGGGATCCCATTGCTTCATGTGTCGAGCCACTATGGCGCCAATGATAATCAAGATTCCCCAGCCGAACATGTTCATTAGCCCATGTGTCTTCCTTAGCTTAGAGTGTGGTGAACCTTTAACCACACTTTGCGAACCTTTTAATTCATCAGCAAAAAAAAAAAAAAAAAAAACATAAATCAGTCGACGAACACAAGAACATTCATATTCTTAGATTCTTAACACAAACTCAGTTCTCTCGCTCCACAATAGTTGTTGTTTAATTTAGTTTTATACCCGCCTCCTCGTTTATCTTAAACATCCCTTAACACTAAACTTCTTTATTAAAAAAAGAAAAAAAAAATCAGACTGTTTAAGTTAACTCATGAAAAAAGTTAATGTGTTTTTCACTGCATCTCACTATCATCAATACCAAAAGTAGGAGTAAAAAACAAAACAAAACTGGTACATCATTCTCTTTTGTCTTCATTACCTGACAAAAAACAACTAAAAAGTCTAAACTTAGTTAGCACTCCAAGTCCAAGCTATACAACATCTAGAAATGTAGAGAGATCCCGCAATCTCATAACACGTGTAAAAAAAGAATCTCTTTCAAAATGGTGGCAACAAATAATATCGTAGTTTGTTTGCAGAATGAATATACAATAGTAATAAATTGGAAAAATTAGTCACTAATTGTTTTGCTAATTAGTAGTGATATTTGGAAACGATAAGAGAGATAGTAGTAGTAGTTGGGAAAAAACCGCGTATAATAATAATAATACAAAAAGTCGGTATGATGTGAATATGACTTCAGCAAAGAATAGTGGAGGTATAATCTCTATATTAGTAAAAGAGAAGTACAAAATCGAATATGGGTCGGGTCAAAATTAAAAAATTAACCCGATTTTAACAATTGGATACTTCAAAGTTGGATATTAATTTGGGTTTGGATACATACATCGGATATTTTCTATATCTAATTTTAAGATTATATTATCTCCGTAACTAATTTTATGATTTCCTAATATTTCTCTAACTAATCAATTATTATTCTTCTTTAAATTTAATTTGATAGTATTTTTAATTTATGATATTATGCTATATAATAAAAATATTTAATAAAAATTAATATTTTTTTGCTTATGTTGCAATTTGAATTTTTTCAATACTCAACTACACTCGGTTAAATATTTTGGACAATGATTTAAAATCAGTATACGTATGATCAATATTAAAACCATTGTTACATGAGCATATTTAAAAGTTTCAAAAATTTCAAAATATTATAATTAAAAGATTCAAATATATATAAAAATTTAGAATTGAAATTATTAAAAATATTTTATTGAAGATATAGATGTAATTTTGGAGACATAATTTTTATTGATAAAATATATTATATATCAAACTATGTAAATTTTAAATAGTTTTCAGATAGTTTGTTAAAATCACAATTATAATGGTAAAGCAAGTTATGAATAATGTTTTTTACAAAATGAATTTTGTTACGGGTTGGTCCTTCAAAAGATACATTGTAAGTATGTAATTTTTACATATATTTCTACTTCTACTACAAAATGGTCAAATTGAATAATTTGTCGATACATATTATTTCGTGCCGTTCATTTTTCACTGTTTTTTAGTTGAATCCAAACTCAATGTATTATTATTTACTCGCTTTTTCGTTTTATTATTTTATTTAAATTTATTATACAAATATATGATTCACCGTAATCGACTGCATTGCAATAAAATTAAAATATAATATATTGTAATTCGTTAAAAGTTATATATATGTAATTATTTCCCCCGCGCTGTAGCGCGGGTCCGAATCTAGTACATATTAAACGGTGATTAAGATTTAAACCAGTCAAATAATGGATAAACTCACTATTGACTTTTAAAATAATGAGTCAAATGAAAATAATTAAGACAAGGTGAATTTTAGAAATTAAAAAAAGAGAGAGAGATTGGTCTTGTTTACCTGTATTATAATTGATGGTCGTGGTGGTCACGAACCGATGCTCTCTCAACCTGTAGTCCGGCGAAGATGGGAAGAACCCGGCAGGTCCCATAGCGTAAAGAAGACTCTGCCGCGGCAGCTCCGCCGTCAGTTGGAAACTCATGTAGATACGCGACGACACTGACTCGATCTTTAACGAGCCTCTGACGATCGTTAGATCCCCTTGGTCAGGATTCACCTCGCCGGGGGATTTCCCTCCGAGCAAGTACGGTTTCACTGTTCCGGCACCGCCGTCGGAAGGTATCCAGCCGACGATCGCGCTGCTTCCGACCATCTGACCGTTGGTTGAGAATCCGATCCCGATGAAGGCGCTTGAATCGGGAGCTGATAAGATGAAGCTCCATGTGTTCTCCACCGTTCTAGCATACTACTCATGAATTATTAAAAAAAAAGATTTAAAATGTTTTCAGAATTCGAAAGTTATGAAAATTTCGGAAATTTTTTTAAAGTTGACTTACTCGGAGGATGTAATTTTGGAGACTCCAAGCTTCGACGCATTGGAGGAGGCTGGCGTTGAAGGTGAGGTCGTTGAGAGGTAGACTTGAATTGCACGATTCCCTAGCTGGTTGTGCATTAACTATGGTGGTGGAGAGACCAATTAAACTCAAGATCATCAAGGAAACAGAATAAAGCTTCATCTTTTTTTTTTCTCTCTCTTTCTTTCTCTCTCTCTCTCTCTCTCTTTGGATCTTAAAGATGAAAGAGAGAGGAAAGTAATGAAGGGATCATGGTGATGATGACGACGACAATGAGTTGTATATATATCTAGTTTATAGAGATAGTGTGTGTTGAAGCAGTTGTGATTTCAACTAAATTATATATTATTATTATTATTATTGTGTCGTTACAATTCGTTTTCTTTTATGATTTACTAGTCTGGTACAAAACAAAACTAAGAGCTCTGTTTCATTAGGAGAAAGAGTATAATATCTGTTTCGTGTGGAAAGCTCAAGATGTGGGAATATGATTGAATTGTACCCGTTACCTTTAACCCCCACTCCTGAACGTTTGTTATTGAATGGGTGTGCCACCATGGTGTATACTTCTTGATCGACGAATGGGTATCGTATTTCCTGACCCAGACACAAATATTAATATGCATATCTCTGGTGTAACAATTTATTATTTTTAAATAAAACTTTTAACAACTAGTTTCTAGTTAGACGATCTATTTACCAAATCCCTCGAATAAAAAAGGACGTTTCGCATCTTTCAACAACATGAAACTCTGAATGGAGCCATGTGAGATGGTAACCGTGATTGTTAGGCAAATCTCTGGTTTGGGTTTTTTACACTTTCAGGGACCAGAGAATAAGACCGATCGAGAAAAACACCAATATTCGTTATCCTACACACACCGAAATAAAAGTCATTGACACATCATCGCTTGTGCCATCTCAACAAACACTCTACACCATTTCACTAGTCTATATGGGGTCAGTCAGCAGAACCAGGACTATTCAATTATTAGCACTTGAAGATTTTGGCATCAGCAATCCACGGCGCACTTCAGTCATGTAATCCTCTGGCGATATCGTTTGAGGAGGCAATGTCTTGTTTGCTGCAGCCAGGATCTGTAATTGTTTCATCCCACAAAACAAGAGACATGGGTCTCATCATTAATGTAAACTAGCATCTTAATAGACCTAAAAGCATAATGATAGAGTTTAAAGTCAGTTCCACCTGGTGAGGTAGTTTACCCCAGACACTTCCTCCATAGTACATGACTGGTCGCTCTGTGAAATAGTAGGTAAACTTGACAATCAGTTCTACTCGATTAGCTGGAACGCAGAGATCAACTGGGGGAACTATAGGTATATTTGATTGTATTTGGAGCCAACTAAAGCAGAACAAATCTAACAGACATATAGGATAAAGAAGAAACTTAATCTGACCAGATAGATCCACAGTTTGGTCGTTGTACTCATGCATTGCAGCTTCCCATCCTGTTCATTGGACAAATCAAGAGCACGTAAGTAAGACAACCACATAAACTGAGTGCATGAGCAGTGAATTTAACACTCCTTATCTATTAAGGGCAAAAATTACTAAAAGGAGCATGCCCAATAAACTAGCACTGACTCATCAGATGTTTAGCAAATAATAGCAACAGTTGATAGACGAACGACCAGACAGTAAGACAGAGCACAGAATCAACCACTCAAATGTTTAAAGAGATAGATAGTTCAGATTCATACGTTTGCTCAAAAGCTGATGAGCTTCACTCCTAGAGCAGTCCTTTAGTGGTATTATCCTCTGAGGTTTGTTTCCCATCTGAAGACCAGTAGCAGGAGGCTGATTTCCCTCACCATCTTTGTTTCCTTGGCTACTTGTTCGATCTGCATTTCACTCTTTCTTTAGCAAAGAACAACATCATAGCGAGCCAAACCTGATATAAGCTTAAACGCTGATCTTTTTTTCAAGAATACAAGCAAAAGAACATGGAGAAATAGATTAACCGGAAAATTTGCTAATAAAGAGAGATCAAGATCTAAATTCCAGGTTCTTGAGGTTACCAATTATCCCCAATCACAATGTTTCAAGATTCGGGTTCAAACAATTAGTCTACCTACGAAATCAGATTACTTCTCTTCCTCGACAATCTTTGATTCTAAGCTATAACCCCCACAGAATTAGATCTTTCTCGGAATCAAGAAAACATCTGTTTCGTTTCTCTAGTAAAAATCATGAAAGAACGACTCAGGCAAAGAAGATAGAGAGAGAGAGAGAGGGATCACTTACCTCCCGAGTTGCGGCGATTCCCAGTAGGCGTCCTGTGAGAACGGAGACGAAGCAGCGAAATCAGCAGAGTAACGAACGATCACTCGAAATCAGGAAAATGAGAGGAAGGAGAGGAGAAGAAGAGAAGTTACCTTTGATTTGGGGGGGTGTACTTCGTCTTGGAGCTCGAATCTGCCATTGACGAGTTAGGGTTAATGCAGTTTTCGCAGAGAACGATCTCTCTCTCTCTCTCTCTCTACTCTCTAGTCTCTACCGGTGGAGGATCAGTCAACTCTTTAACGCACAGAACGTTGAAAAATGAAAAGCGTTGTATCGTCTCGCCTTAAGCCGTTCAATCTTCACTCGCGTCTACTATAGCGCGTGTTTATCAAGCGCTCGCGCGCTTTTATTACGCCTTTTCCGAAATTTACGTTTCGTGTTTCACCTGGAATTGAAATATTTGGTCCTCTTTTTCAATTTACGGGTTGGCTGAACCAAGTGTAATTTAGATTTCTGGTTTAGAACATCGTCACTGATCGACCCTTGGACTTTATGGGCCTTATGACATGTGTGTTCGGCCCAATATTGATTTTAAATGTTATATCGTGATTAGGTGATGGATCCAAAACCGGAATCCGATCTGTACTCGCTCCACTTCGAGGTCTCTCTCCGTCTGCGTAAGAAGGGTTTTGAGGGTTTTCTTTGTTTGTTCTTCTTCTTCGCATCCAAAGATGAAGCTCGTCAGGTACTGTTTCGATATCTGTTCTTCTATTCTTATAATTTCGTGTCGTTCTTAATCTTAGTTAGCTTTGGATATGGAATACATTCCTATTCTTGAGTCTGAGCTGATATGTGGGATTTGGTTTGATTGGATCGAGCAGGTTTTTGATGAAGTTAAACAATGAAACTGTGTCGATCGAGCTGAAGAACGGGACTGTTGTCCATGGAACCATCACTGGTATGTTCTGTTTTAGTATCCGGTTTCTTTTGTAGTTCTTCTCACCTTTCTTCTCTCTCGATTTCTCCGTTTCTAGGTCTTAGTTGCTGTTACTGATACAAGTCGCGATCTGTTCCCTAATTTTGAATTTGATCCATTGGCCCTATTCGCATCCTTGTGATCACAGTAGGTTGAGAAAACACTCAATTAGATTCACTTGTTAGAAGTATGTTTTATTGAAAGCCTAAGCTTGATGATTTGGGCAGGTGTTGATGTGAGCATGAATACTCACTTGAAGACAGTTAAAATGAGTCTGAAGGGGAAAAACCCAGTAACACTTGATCATCTCAGCTTGAGGGGTAACAATATCCGATACTACATTCTTCCTGATAGCTTGAACCTGGAGACTTTACTTGTGGAAGACACTCCTAGAGTTAAGCCTAAGAAGCCTGTTGCTGGTAATGCTCCATTCTTTTTGATGTTACTAACATTTTTCTTCATAAGCTATTAGACTACTTTTTCAATCCATTTATCTTCCTCCCTTTTTCTTTCATCTCTAGGCAAACCTGTTGGACGCGGTCGTGGACGTGGGCGTGGGCGTGGTCGTGGCAGAGGTCGTTAGATGTAGCAATGCACTTGATAAAGCTTTAAGGTATGTGAGTTAGGAGAATGTACCGAGTTATGTATCTAGCAACTCTTGCAAAGTTAAGATTTGATTTAGAAATGGTATGATTGCTGCTTGTAAGGAAGTTACTCTGTAATGCGATTCCATGGATAGCAAGATTTTGCTTTACATGCTATAAGAGCATGTGCAAGTAGAGAATTTGTGTGGTTTTGAGAGCTCTAGACTTTTTATTCATGTGCCAAATCTGACTATCAAATTTTACATTAACATGCTGACAATCTTAGTATATAAAAAATGATATCTCCTCCGTTAGTCTTCCACATGAAACCTATCTCACATGATCCTGCAGTTGGGATCATGATTGTATACGGGTTCCCCAGTCTGATGGTAAGGATCACACGGGTAAGGATAGGAAGATGGCACACCATATCCATAAGGCCATGGTTGATAGCATGGCTCGGGTTTTTTCTCTTCAGTTTCCTTCTTATCCGGCTTTTTGTCACATGGGCAGTAATAGGAAGATGGCACACCATATCCATAATGCCATGGTTGACAGCATGGCTCGGGTTTTTTCTCTTCAGTTTTCTTCTCATCTGGCTTTTTGTCACCATCTTTTGGTGGTTCAACTTTCGCTACGCTAACAAGCTCTGCAAATGCTACTTTTTTCCTCAGTGTGTTGATTAGAACGATCATATCGACTTCAACACCGGTCACCTCAACCTGGTTCCTGTGATCTCCCTTTATTTCCACAGCGTTCACGCCTGAAATGAATACACAACATCTTTAGATTCATCGACAACTACAATAATCGGGTTAGGGTTTGTACCATAGTTACCTTTAAACCGAACAGCAGTTGTCAGTGCTTTTGCTCGGGTTTTGTCATCAGTCATAGCAACTCTTAGCAGGATCTTTTGCTGCATACAGTAAGAAAACCTCTTTAACATCTCTATAGAAGTGTCTCTCTCTTTCACAATAGTATACAAGTTATTACTTGTTTCTTGAGTACACAAATACATACCTTCATGTTTTGTGACAAGCTTTTGTCTTCTTCACGACCGCGTATAAAGGACGAGTAGAGATGTTCTGCTTGAGAATTCGCTTTGGATGTTTGATGGAATTTTGCTTAGAAGTTTCTGTGTCTTCTTCTTTAGATCACAAATTTGAAGAAATATAAATAAGGATTAGTTGATTCTTATATATTATTCACTTGTTGGATGAGTCGTCGTCTCACACCAACAGAATCGTGGTTTGAATTTCGTTGTCAGTTTCATATCTTCGTTCCTTCGTGTTTTATTGGTTCTAGACTTCTAGTTGCTGATCAGTACAAGCTCATTGCCAATTTTCTTTAATTAAAAAAAATATTAAAAAATCTTTGTTTGATTGAGTCAAAAAAATTAGATTAAATTGTTACTTGACTGAGTCAGAATCAATTGGTTCAATAATGATACACAACACTAGTAATATTTGTTTAATATACCGTTGATTGTTAGTTTTATACATGCAAGGCTAAAAGACTTATAAAGCTTTTGAGTCAATATTTCAATTATGATGATTAATAAGTTATATTTGAGTCATCATCCAGATGTGCATAGCAAAAGAATAGAACAAACGCATTCAAGTCTTCGTCTTCTCTAGATGTACATACATACATGTTTCCCTCTAACTTCCTACTTAATCAAGAAAAAGATTAATTTGACTACTAATCTGTCATCCATCTGTATTAACAAGTATTAGATACTTGACTTGCCATATATATATAGGTTCGCAATCATCTTTTCATTTTCTAATCAAATGGAAACACAATTAGCTCATAATTTATACTAATGTGTTTGTCTATGCTAATTTGACTTTTTATTCACTAAATTATTGCTGAGATGCCAATGGCAGTGATATATCAGCAATTTTTAAGGGATTGATCAAACATAGATATCATAACTCGTGTGAAAGCTATGTGTAGTAACATATTTACGTAATATGAAATATATTTTTGAGCACATACACAAAAGCAACATCAATAACTGCATAAACTTTTTGTTCTAGCTTAAAGAAGTCATGTCCATGGCTCCATGCTAACTGAAAGAAATGGACAGATATTAGAAAAATCTAGCTAAGGCGACATTACAGTGATGGAGACTAAAATAATTTTAACATCGTCACATGTTATTTAGAATTTAGTGTAGGCAGACAAACAAGAGATGTCAAAGGGAAGAGGGAACGCAACCGTGCGTTAAAACAAGAGATGTGAGACGTTTCGATGGTAGTGGGTTAATCATCGTGCCCTTGATGGGTCGTGTTCTTACTTCTTATTAGTGGGTCTACTATTTTTATTGGTAGTTGTTTTTGTCAACCCATTAACCTGTACTCTGTAGACCGGTTCAACTGTGACTCTGCAAGTGTGATTGAACCAAACAGATTCACCCAAAAAGTTAATTTGAACGAGAGATTATTTTTTTTTTTTTTCATCATTTGAACGAGAGATTAGAATTTAATTTTGTGTGATTCAATTGAATGTAAAAAAAGACGGAATTGGAAACAAAATATGAGCGGGAAATAAACCCCATGGATTTCGCGAAATCGTGTTGATTTAGACCAAAACTAAACCAAACTTTTACTTTTATCGGAACCTTTCAGTTTCCAAAAATCCACAAAAAAAGAAAAGAAAAAGAATCCTCATAAAATCCCGTGTGTCTAGGGTTTTTCGTTACTGTCTCAGTGGTGGGGGAGGGATCCAAGAGAGTTTGTGCCGAGGAGAGAGTGTGAGTGTTTTTTGAATTTCGAAATGGATTCTACAGAGGATGTTGCTATGGTTGGAGAAGCCAACGGACGCGGTGGTCTACGGAGGATTCGGAGTGCTTCTATGAAGATGACCCATTACGTTGACCCTCTGACCGACGACGACGAAGACGAAAGACCCAAGCGAAAGGGCAGAAAAGGGGGGAATAAGGCTCAGAAGAAGAAGAAGAGAGCCTCTGCTAAGACGAGGGGTAACACAGACTCAATTGCTGGGGAAGGTGAGGATTCTGGAAACCAGACTACCATTGGGACAATGACTCGGAAAAGGACTAGTAAGAAGAAGGGTGAAATCGATGGCGAGGTTCCAACCAACTCGAGCAAGAGGTCCAGGACCAGAGCTAGAAAAGGCAACGCGGTTAGTGAATTTTCTCTGTAAATATTGTCTCCTTTGCTCATCAATCGTCTGCTAATTTGTTATGTGTTTTGTTTTGGGGGATAATTAGGATAATGCTGAAGTTATCTTGTCCAATATGTGTCATCAATGTCAAAGGAACGATAGAGGGTACGTTGTGCGGTGTCAGAACTGCGAGACGAAGCGTTTTTGCCTCCCCTGCTTAAAAACTTGGTATGCTCTTCTTACCCTTAAACATTTTTAGCAATTATTTTGGTTTCTTGTTACTTGTTACTGGCTTCATTATATGGGTGTTAAAGATAGTTCGTCTTAGAGTTTCTTTCGGATGGTTGAATGCTTAAATAGTTTTTATTGTTCTGCAATGAGTCAAGACAAAGCTTTTGAAAATCGATTCTTGTCGATTCATTGATAATCATTTCTTCTATTTACGAACAAAACACCCACTTACTTTTACTCTTGTCTTGTGTTGGATTGTTTTTTCCAGAAGCCTGAAACAATTGTCTGATCACTACTTGCAGGTACCCCAACATACCAGAAGAAGATATTGCCAACAAATGCCCATTCTGCTGTGGTATTTGCTGTTGCAGAGGATGCTTGCGTCTAGATAATAAGATAAAAGTATGTTTTCTTGTATCTACCATGTCTTGCTTGATTTATACTTTTATGCTGTTAAACTTTATCTAAGCTCCTTACCATAATGGATACTTGAATACCATATAGGGCATAAATCCGAATCTCGAGGTCAGCAAGGACACAAAAATTCAGTGCTCTAAATATATTTTGGGGAGGCTTCTCCCACATATGAAGGAAATAGTTGATGAACAAATTGCTGAGAAGAAAATCGAGGCAAAGATCTCAGGTACTTTCCATGCTTATAGTTCTGCCAGAAAGTAATGATTGTTTCTGTAGTCACTTCACAGTTTTTGCATTATCATGTTATCATGTGTTAAGTATGTATAATCTTTATATTGTTGGATATACCCGCATTTATTCCCAACAAAATCCCTAACTGAGTGGATTCATTTTTCTAAGTTGTAAGCTGGAAGCTGATTAGCTTAAAGATTAAGAATCTGTCTTAATATTATTTCATAGGACTGGAGTTTGAAAAGGTGAGGCCCCTAGATGCTGAATCTTTCCTTGATGAAAGACTATACTGGTATATGACCCTGATATTTTTGTTTTTATAAATTTGACAAGTTCATAAGTCATGATGCTGTTGGTAATTTGATTCTCTGTTGTTTTTACTCTTCGGGCTCACAGTGATATCTGCAAGACTTCGATCTTTGATCTCCATAGGAGTTGCAGGGAATGTCCTTGTGATATCTGCCTTACATGTTGCCTTGAGATCCGCAATGGAAAGGCTCAGGCATGTCAGGAGGATGTGTCCTGGAATTATGTTAACCGAGGTTTAGAGTATGAACATGGAGACGTAGGCAAAGTTATTGTGAAGCCGGATGTTAAGCCGGATGATAAGCCAGATGATAAGTTGGATGATAAGCCGGTTTGCAAAGACCATATGAACGACCCATCTTTGTGGAAAGCAAATGAAGCTGGAAACATTACTTGTCATTGTGGTGCCAAGGGTTTAGTTTTAAAACGCCTACTTCCTGATGGTTGGGTATCTGATTTGGTAAAGAAAGTAGAAAAACTTGCGGAAGCTGGCGAGCTTTTGGATTTACCTGAAACAGTATTGGAGCGATGCCCTTGTTTTAAGTCTGATGGTCATATTGACATGGACAACGGTAACTTGTTAAAGGCTGCTTGTCGAGAAGGTTCGGAAGACAATTATCTGTATTGTCCAAGTGTCACAGATGTTCAACAAGATGACCTGAAGCATTTTCAACATCATTGGGTAAAAGGGGAGCCTGTGGTTGTGAGGAATGTGCTTGAGTCTACATCTGGTTTTAGCTGGGAACCAATGGTAACCTATCGTGCCTGCCGTCAAGTCCGCAAAACCAATCATGAAACACTTCTAGGTGTTCACTCTACTGATTGTCTGGACTTCTGTGAGGTCAGTTTTTCCTCAATGAATATGTTTCTGGCTCATATCTTTTCATATATAATAATATAAGTACTTGCGTTGCAACTATTTTATTTTTCTGGTCTAGTTAATCTCAATCGTTTTTTGATGTTCATGTCCCTCGTTATCTTTATCTAATGACTTTTAACGGATGCAGGTAAACATCAATCTTCACAATTTTTTTACCGGATATATTGAAGGCCGATATGATCGAATGGATTGGCCACAAGTCCTGAAACTGAAAGATTGGCCTCCATCTAAGTCCTTCGAAGAAAACCTCCCACGTCATGCGATGGAGTTCTTATGCAGTTTGCCAATGAAGCAGTACACTCACCCAGAGAATGGACCTTTGAATCTAGCTGTCAAGCTGCCTAAAAATTGCTTGAAGCCAGACATGGGGCCAAAGACATATATTGCTTACGGATTTGAGCAAGAGTTTGGCCGTGGAGATTCTGTTACTAAGCTACATTGCGACATGTCTGATGCGGTTAGTACCCTTGTGTTTTTTCTTTTCTTGTGTTCATTTTCATTTCTTTGTTATATTTGTGTTCATTCTTTTGATAGTTTCCCTTTCATGATAGAACCTAATAAAACAGCAGAATCAGATAACCATTTCGTGGTAGAATCATATCTATATATCAGTTCACTTAGTTTTATTTTTGTTTTTCTAATTAAATTTAGGATTAGTTCTCTCTATCTTCTTTTTTTTTTTAATCAAAAGTTCTATCTTTCTTCACAAGTTCATTTAATCTTTCTCTGTTTGTCTGATTTTTCTAGACTTGTCTTTTCCCGTAAAATTCCCCTTTTTTGGATTTCGTCTATCAGAACTCAAAAGTCCAAATTGGGCTGGCTGACGTTTAATTCTTTCCTTCTGTTTTTCCCAGAGATTTTTTTTTTTTACTTTTTTTTTTTTCTTTCTTTTTCTCGCTGAAATTTTGTTTCTTTTTCTTTTGTCAACCGGAATCTAAATATAGAAATCTTAAATTCCGCTAGAACAAAGGAAAAAGGGTTTTGCTAGAATCCAGGCTTTTGGTCGTTTCTTTTTCAGTAAATCGAAATCAGTATACCACCAGTTGCCAATAGTTGTTGTCGTCTTTTGTGTGACTGATGACAATAAACCAAAATAAATTTTGTGCGTTGCATGTTCCCGTTGCTAGTTGCTGTCGCTAATCGTTACCTGCTAAAATAGAAAGACCAACATCAATCATGTAGGATTTGTGAGTAATTCAATCACTCAAATTATAATTCCATTACCTTTTCCAAAGCAAAGAAATTCTCAATTCGATTGGGGTTTGCAGTTAATGTTAAGAACCTTGGAAGACAATGCCATATGAAACAATTTTTTCTTCCTACTGCTACACATACCATCATTGATATAAAATTGTACAAGGTTATACTCATCAAAAGAGTTTGGATGTTTCCAATGCTTTATTAATTGGCCAAATTCTTTTGTTGAACTATATTTATGAAGAACATCCATATTCATTTCTCCACAATGGATTTGGTAGAAGAACCTTGTCACAAAGGAGTTCAATTGAAGCCAGAGTACCAAGGCATGCTTGCAACTTATGAAATGCTTGGCTGTCGAATGAAATTTGATTTTTTTTTTTCGATTTTCAGTTTTAATTCCGAAATGCACATGAATACACTGCAATATACTAAACACATTGGAATTGATTGTCAGAAAACGTGCTAGAAATTGTAACAGATATATACCGCGGATTAAAACCTAACTCTTCATAGATAATCCAGTCAAAAGTTGAATTATGAAAAGAAAATAATCTCTATGCCAACAACATCATCCTAGTCAGATAACCATCTAGTCAACAACATCATCTCTAATCAGATAACAACAGAATCAGATTACCATCCAGTCATAAAAGATGTTGTTAAGCCTTCGAGTCCAAAATAGATTCGAATGTAATCAGTTTTCAATTTTTCTAAATAAATTCTGGAGGACTTACTTCACCAAAAAATTATGATCACGGAATATTCTTGCTCTTTTTTAGTGGGACAATTCGTTGATTCCGATTTATGTCAAGATGTGTCAGTTTAGTTACCTTACGTATCTTTCTTTTATAAAGCATAGTGTCTAATAAAGGTCAATTGACATTATATTGTTTTATATAATAATGTCTCTCTCTTTTCACCAAAAAAAAAGTCTCTCTCTTATCTAATTCTTTTCAATATCTTTATTCCTGTGTTGGTTTCAGGTGAATGTTTTGACGCACATATCTGAAGTTCCCATTGATAAGACAAAACAACCAAAAATTGAAGAACTGAAAAAGAAGCATGCTGAACAGGATCTCAAGGAGCTGTATAGCTCTGTAGCTAACAAGGAGGAAATGATGGAGATTCTTGTAAAGTCTCAGCAACAAGTCGAAAAAGTTGAATCTGATGATGGAGCTCTTTGGGACATTTTCCGCAGAGAAGATATTCCAAAATTAGAGAGTTACCTTCTGAAACATTACAAGGAGTTTAGACATTTCTACTGCTGCCCTTTGTCCCAGGTACACTATACTTGCATACTTTACATTTTTCTTCTCCTTCTTCAGTTTGGTTATATTGAACATATGTAGTCTCTCTTTGTGTCCAGTCTCTCCACAATTTTTGCTGGTTTTTGTTTATCTTGTATGTTCATGCATCTTCGTCTTTTCAGGTGGTTCATCCGATATACGACCAGACCATCTATCTAACACGATATCATATCAAGAAGCTGAAAGAAGAATATGGTATGTAGAATTTTTACTAATAACCAAATCACGTTTTCCATCTTTTCACATTATCTTGACAGTTCTAGTCTTTTTGGGGCTGTATTCTTTAGGCATTGAACCATGGACCTTTAACCAGAAGCTCGGCGATGCTGTCTTAATACCTGTCGGGTGCCCGCATCAAGTCCGAAATTTGAAGGTAAATTTTATATTTCTAGCTTAGGAGACAGTGTATTTAAGCAATTGCGCTTTCAGTTTCTCAGCAGAAGGTTCATAAATTGATCATTGTAGTTCGCTTGTGTCTTGCAGTCCTGCACAAAGGTAGCGCTTGACTTTGTTTCACCTGAAAATGTCAGCGAGTGTTTACACTTGACAAAACAGTATCGTCTACTTCCACCAAATCATTTTGCGAAAGAAGACAAGTTGGAGGTATTTCTCTTGTCTCAATTCCTAGTTGTTTTGAGCAAAGTTTCTGACTCCTCTGTAAATGTTATTGTCTTGGTTTCCCGTGTTTTTCTTGAACAGGTTAAGAAGATGATAATACACGCAGTCGATAAGTCTCTCAGGGACTTAAGTGGAGAGGAGTGAGTTTTTACTTTTCTCACTACCTATCTCAATCATCAGTCAATTTGGTTTCTTTTTTCTTTAAGCTTGAGTTTTAGTTTTGTTGTGTTGGTTCAGGTCTTCAGAACCTGAGGAGAAGAAAACACTTAGGGAAAGGAAGAGGAAGGGAACCAATGCAAGTGATAAGGCTCTCCAAGAGTTACCTCAAAGTGAAAGGTGAGATTATTTACTTATATTCTCGCTAGCTTAAGAAAACATTAGTAAACTGAGTTTTCTTTTTGTGTAAGCTGAAGTTTTTCTTTTGTGTTGGTTCAGGTCTTCGGAAGTTGAAGTGGAGAAAAAAGCTGAAGAGGAGAAATCAAAGGGTATAGTTGATGCAGTTGATAAGTTTCTCGAAGACATGCCTCCAAGTGAAAAGTGAGTATTTTACTTCTCTTCTTACTACCTTAAAAAACCACAAGTAAACTGAGTTTCTATTTTTTCTCCTTTTTTTGTGTAAGCTGAGTTTTTTGTTTTTCTGGTTGTGTCGGTTCAGGGTGTCGGAGGAGAAATCAAAGGGGGTAGTGAATCAAATTGATGAGACTATGGAAAACTTGCCTCCAACTGAAACGAAGTGAGCTTTTACCTGTCTTCTCACACCACCTACAAAAAGCATCAGTAAATCTGAGTTTCTTGTTGTCTAAGCGGAGTTTCTTTTTCTTTTGTGTTGGTTCTTCAGGTTTCCAGAAGCCGAAGGGGTGAAAAGAGCTAAGATAGTGAAGACATACGTGCGGAGAAAAAAGCAGAGAAGTGAAGAAATCAAAGCATAGAAATTAGCAAATTACAAGCAGAGAGGGAGGATGTAGGAGTAGTAGTAGTCTTTTGTTGCATCTTAATTCTCAGAAATCTTTTGTTGCTAGTTTCCTTTGCGAAATCACAAGTTAAAACAGAGCAGCAAGGGAGTGGAGTGAGAGAGAGAGATACTTGTCCTTAGTTAGTTATATCTGCTCTTGGCATATTTTGTATATTTTCTCCTCAATCTTCCCCTGATTCTATGAAGTACAGTTACCTTATTTTCTCGAGATAAGTAATTGCTGGAGTGAGTAACCAAAATCATAAATCACCGACTTGGAATTTTTGAAACCGAAACCAAAAAAAAAAGAAGTAACCTAATTAAACTGATCGATACAATTGTTTGTTACTCCTTCAGTCCTTCTACTATCATTTAATTAATTCGTATAAAAATTGTTTTAGAAATATTTGGAAACAAATAATGAGAGCGGGAAATAAAACCCTGAAGATTCATCAAAATCCCTAATTTGTGACCAAATTTTGCTTTGATGGAAACCTTTCAGTTTCCGGAGAGTAATAAAAATCAACACTAAATAGCGTCATGTATTTAGCGTCGGTTCTTCGTTACTCACTGGGATCCAAGAGTTGGTGAGGATTTTTGATTTTTCGAAATGGATTCTGCGGATGAAGAAGGTGTAAAGGTTGGCGAAGCCAACGGACGCGGTGGTCTGCGCAGGAATCGGAGAGCTTCTAGGAAGCGGGCTGATTACGTTGACCCTCTGACCGACGACGACGACGAAGATGAAGGACCCAAGCGTAAGGGTAAAAAGGTTGGTTATAAGGCTCGGACAAAGACTGCAAAGGAAGACGATGAAGGTCTTAGGGTGGAAGATGCCAACAAAGGCGCTGCTCTGGTGAGGGAGAAGAGAGCAACCACTAAGATTAGGAGCCCAATTACTCACCAATCTGAAGCTTCTGTAAGCAAGCCGCATGAGGAAAAGGGAAATAGGGCTCGGAAAAGGAACAAGGATGGAATCGATGGCGAGGTTTCAGGTAAGTCGTTCAAGAAGCCGAGGACTAAAGTAGATGGCAGTGTCCATGTTGGTTACCTCCCGGTTAGTGATTATTTGAACTTTGTTCATCTATTGTAGCTTTACATAGCTACCAATGTATTAATTTTCTCTTTGTTTTGGGATATATATAAATGTAGGACAATATGTGTCACCAATGTCAATATAGCGACAAACGTGTTGAAAAGTGTCAGAACTGCAAGAGTAAGCGTTATTGTTACCCGTGCTTAGACACTTGGTATGCTCTTCTTACCATTAACATTAACTTCGTTTCTTGTTACTGATTTCATTCCATTGTTGTTACTTCTTCTAAACGAAGTTTTGATTTGAACAATCTCATGACTTAAGATTCTGCATCAGTTCATGTTGTTGCCTGTAGAATTTCATCTATTTATAGACAACTAAATTCCTATAGTATTGATTATATTCTAGATTTCTGATCTAACGACCCATTTCCTTAACTGTATTCTTTTGTTGGATTGTGTTTTCAGAAAACTGAATCACTTGTCTAACTGCTTACAGGTACCCCCGTATTGCAAAAGAAGATGTTGCCAAGAAATGCCCATTCTGCTGTAGTATGTGCAATTGCAAAACATGCTTGCGTCTAGATACTAATATACAAGTAAATGATTCTCTTATCTACCATATGTTGCTTTGGTTTTTTATATCTATTCTCGATTTATCTAAGCTCCTTACCTTAATGATTACTCCAATGCTATGTAGGGGATAAATTCAGACCTCATGGTCAGCGAGGAAGAAAGAGTTCAATCGTCTAAGTTTATTCTGCAGAGGCTTCTCCCACACCTGAAAGGAATAAATGATGAACAAATTGCTGAGAAGGAAATCGAGGCAAATATCTCAGGTACTTTCCATGCTTATGTCAGAAAGTTATGATTGTTTCTGTACTCACTTCACAGTTTTTGCATTCTCATATTATCATGTATGTATAATCTTTATATTGTTGGATATACCCGCATTTATTCCCAACAAGGATTAAGAATTATCTTAATATTCATAGGACTGGAGTTTGAAGAGGTGAGGCCTCTAGATGCTGAATCTTTCCCTGACGAAAGACTATACTGGTATATTTTACCCTGATATTTTTGTTTGAATAAATTTGACAAGCTCTTAAGTCATGATGCTCTTGGTAACTTGATTTTTTGTTGTTTTAACTCCTTGGGCTTACAGTGATATCTGTAAGACTTCGATCTTTGATCTCCATAGGAGTTGCAGGGAATGTCCTTGTGATATCTGCCTTACATGTTGCCTTGAGATCCGCAATGGAAAGGCTCAGGCATGTCAGGAGGATGTGTCCTGGAATTATGTTAACCGAGGTTTAGAGTATGAACATGGAGACGAAGGCAAAGTTATTGTGAAGCCGGATGTTAAGCCGGATGATAAGCCAGATGATAAGTTGGATGATAAGCCGGTTTGCAAAGACCAGATGAAAGATCCATCTATGTGGAAAGTAAATGAAGCTGGAATCATTACTTGTCATTGTGGTGATGAGGGTTTAGTGTTGAAACGCCTACTTCCTGATGGTTGGGTATCTGATTTGTTAAAGAAAGTAGAAAAACTTGCGGAAGCTGGCGAGCTTTTCGATTTACCTGAAACAGTATTGGAGCGATGCCCTTGTTTTAAGTCTAATGGTCATATTGACATGGACAATGGTAACTTGTTAAAGGCTGCTTGTCGAGAAGATTCGGAAGACAATTATCTGTATTGTCCAAGTGTTAGAGATGTTCAACAAGATGACCTGAAGCATTTTCAACATCATTGGGTAAAAGGTGAGCCTGTGGTTGTGAGAAATGTGCTTGAAGCTACAGCTGGGTTAAGTTGGGAACCAATGGTAATGTGGCGTGCCTGCCGCCAGATAAGCCACGTCAAGCATGGAGAACTTACTACTGTTGATGCTGTTGATTGTATGGACTTCTGCGAGGTTAGTGTTTTCCTCAGTAAATTGTGTGGTCCATGTCTGTCAAATTTGGAGTTTTTTCTTTTTTCTTGCCAAGTTAATTTAAATTGTTTTGATGTTCATGTTTTTCCCTTCTGGGTTGACATTTCATTTTCCTTTTTTGCTGAATATATATGCTCGTTATTTTGATTCAGGGTTTTGCCTTTTCTTGAATATTCTTAACTTCTTACTATGTCCTTGTTTATCTGATGACTTGTGATAAATGCAGGTATCTATTAATCTGCATCAATTCTTTACTGGTTATACAGACGGCCGTTATGATCGCATGGGTTGGCCACTAGTTCTGAAACTGAAAGATTGGCCTCCAACTAAGACTTTCAAAGAAAATTTGCCACGTCATGCTGAAGAGTTCTTATGCAGTTTGCCTTTGAAGCATTACACCCACCCGGTAAATGGACCTTTGAATCTTGCTGTCAAACTTCCCGAAAATTGCTTGAAGCCTGACATGGGACCAAAGACTTACGTTGCTTATGGATTTGCGCAAGAATTTGGCCGTGGAGATTCTGTTACTAAGCTTCACTGCGACATGTCTGATGCGGTTAGTACCCATATGATTTGTGTTCTTTCGTGTTTAAATTTGTTTCTTTGTTATATATCTGTCCATTTGTCTGATGGTTTTCCTTTTCATACCCGTAATGATTTGAGAACGAAAACAAGAAAATCAGATAACTTCCAAATACATTTATACCTAAGGATATACTGACTTTACCTTTTTTATAATAATTTCTCTCTCTTATCTAACCCTTTTTTTAATATCTTTACTCGTGTGCTGGTTATTTTCAGGTGAATATTTTGACGCACATAGCTGAAGTGCCTATGGATAATTCAAAACAACCTGGAATTAAAAATCTGAAAAAAAAGCATGCTCAACAAGATTTCAAGGAGCTGTACAGCTCTGTAGCTAACAAGGAGGAAATGATGAAGATTCTTGTAAAGTCTAAACAAGAAGTTGAAAATGTTGACACTGATGACGGAGCTCTTTGGGACATTTTCCGTAGAGAAGATATTCCAAAATTAGAAAGTTACATCGAAAAACATCACAAGGAGTTCAGACATCTCTACTGCTCCCCTGTGTCACAGGTACACACTCTCTTTGCATGCGTTTACATATTTTTCTTCTATGTAATGTTTTAATCGTTACAGTTTCAAAGATATGTGGTGAATATTTGCGTCCAGTCTCTCTACAGCTTATCTTACATTTTTATTTTACCTTCTCTTTTAGGTTGTTCACCCGATACATGACCAAAATTTCTACTTAACCCGATATCATATAATGAAGCTGAAAGAAGAATATGGTATGTAGCCATTTATAAATAACCAGCCACGTTATCTTGGCTGTTTTGGTCATACTTTTATGAGCTGTATTTTGTAGGCATTGAACCTTGGACCTTCAATCAGAAGCTAGGAGATGCCGTTTTAATACCTGTAGGTTGCCCTCATCAAGTTAGAAATTTGAAGGTAATTTTATTTCTTAAAATATTTTGCTTATAGGATACAAAGGATTTTAGCAACCGTGCTTTTTAGTTTCGCAGCAGCATAAGGTTCATCAATTGATTACTTTATTTCTCTTGTGTCTTGTAGTCCTGCACAAAGGTAGCGCTTGACTTTGTCTCACCTGAGAATATCGGCGAGTGTTTACGCTTGACAAAACAGTATCGTCTACTTCCACCTAATCATTTTGCGAAAGAAGACAAGTTAGCAGTATTTATCTTGTCTCCATTGCTGGTTGTTTTAAGCAAAGTTTCGTAATCCTCTCTAGATGTTATTTATTTGCTTGTTTCCTGTGTGTTTGCTTGAACAGGTGAAGAAGATGATAATCCATGCAGTTGATAAGGCTCTTAGAGACTTAAGTGGAGAGAAGTGAGTTCTTATTGCTTCTTGTCTCACTACCTATCGCAATCATCAGTAAAATGAGTTAGATTTTTGCTTAAGCTTAGTTCCTTTTTTCTTGTGTTGGTTCAGGTCTCCAGAACCCAAAGAGAAAAAACAATTTAAGAGAGGGTCGAAGTCAAAGGCGATATCCAAGGCAGTTGTTAAGGCTTTCAAAGACTTACCAAAGTGAGTTTTTACTTCTCTTCTGACTACCTGAAGAAAACATCAGTAGATAAAGTTTCTTCTTGTCTAAGCTGAGTATTTTATTTTGAGTTGGCTCAGATCTTCGGAAGTCGAAGAGGAGAAATCAAAGGGGATAGTCGACGATGTTGATAAGTCTGTCAAAGACTTACCTCCAAGTGAAAAGTGAGCTTTTACTTCACTTCTCTACCTTAAAGAAAGCATCATCAGTAAACTGATTGTCTTTTTGTCTAAGCCGGGTGTTTTTTTTTTGTGTTGGTTCAGGTCTTCTGAAGCCAAAGAGGAGAAATCAAAGTGGGTAGTCAATCCTATCGATAAGGCTCTCGCAGATTTAGCTCCAACTGCAATGAAGTGAGCTTTTACTCGTCTTCTCACCACCTGTATAAAACATCAGTAATCTGAGTTTCTTTTCGTCTAAGCTGAGTTTCTTTTTTTGTATATTTGTTCAGGTCTCTGGAAACCGAAGGGAAGAGAAAAGCAAAAATAGTGAAGACATACGTGAGGAGAAAAAAGCTGGGAAATGAAGAAATGCGTAGACATTGGGTGTGGCAGATGAGAGACGGAGAAGAGTAGGAGTAATTTATTATTGCATCTCTAATCTCATCATCATTTTTTGGTAGCTGAAAGCAAACTCTTTTTGTAATTTCCTTTATTGAATCTCTAAGTTAAACAGAGCACTAAGGGAGTAAGTAGTAAGAAGGTACCTAGTACGTACATAGATCTCTTGGCATATTCTGTATTCTCTCCTCAATAATCCAACTCTGTTTAGTTACACAAGTCTAAGAAGTAGTTAACTTCATTCCTTGAGATAACTAACTGGTGGAGTAAACTAACAGAAAAAATAAATCTAATCCAGAATTTGTTATTTGTTATTTTGGTAAAGCTATAGAGGCATATCAGTGGAGAGGAACGATTCCTGGACGCACATAGGCATTATCAACGTGTCATAACAATTTAACATTTAATCTTCTCAACCATATAGAATGTATAATCATATTAAACACATCATATCTCTTTGGAGGATCATTAACCAATATATGTCTCTTCACTTTCTTCACTCCCTCGTATAGTCTCATATACCGATCCTCCGGTATATTCATCAGTATCCTTTTCATTTCTGGTATTTCCTTAACCGATACCGAAACCGAAAACTTCTCCCAGTTCAAAACATCACTAAACGGCAGAACATAGTTCTCCGAGATAAGAACCGGTACACATCCGCTGTATATAGCCTCCGGTATTCTCGGGCTAGCAACTTCGTGACCGCTCGGGCAAATACAAAACCGGCTTTTCCTCATCATCTCTGTGTAATCTAAACCGTCCGGTAGATTTTCGTAAACCAGAATGTCTTTGTCCTTTTCTTTCCAGTTGTTTAGAAGAACCGGCCGGATTTTTCCGTGTGATTTTCCAGCGAAGAAAGCGAGTGTTGTACGAGAGGTTGGATCTAAACCGCCGGTTAAGTTGTTGATTTCTCCGGTCACTAAATTGATTTCAGGAAACGGAGCGTCTTTCTCTGGATTGAAATATTCTGATATGTTGGCGTTGCATAGTACTCTTATGGAATTGAAAAATAGCTTCTTTACGTACCATGTTGCCCTGTGTCCCTGTAACCATGTGGTCAGTCCATGCTTGAGCTTTAAAACTGACCTAATTAGCAGAATAATAAGATATATCGATCATACAGGAACAACATACCCAGTCATGGCAAGACAACATGAAGTGATCAAACCCATCGCTCGTGTTCCAATACGGATATTTCTTGGAGATTATCTGGACATAGTCAGCGATGACACGTTCCAAGACAGCCTTATCTCGAACAACCGGGTCGAAAAGATGGTGAAGGATCATAACAACACTAAAAGGTAAGAAGTAGACATGAGCCTTGTCAGGATCTCGGGTGCGGTACTTAAGGACATCGTTTTCCATAAAGTTTAGGAACAATCCTTCCATTGAGTATATGTCTTTACAAAGACCATAGTGAAATATCGGTGGATCTCCTTCCTCGTATACGTAGATCTTGAATATCTTTTCCATGAGAAGATAACTTCTGTCGCAAGTAAGAAGTATCAATAAAAGGTCACTTGTAAGTCAAGTAAACAAACACATACGTATACTGTTACCGGTGAAAGGCATAAGGGTTCCGGTAAATATCGCCATGAGGTACATAGTCTTCGTCTCCGAGGGGAGATGATGAAGTAGAATTCGAATTTACTTGAGCTTCTCTGATCAACGCTCTAGCCATTGCTAATTCTGCTTCTACTTTCCCGTCTCTTTTCCAAGATCCATGACCTGGATTTCTTTTTCGTTTTTCCTTGAAAATACAAAACAGAATTCTTGAATTTCCATATATTTTTAACCACATTTGATCATCAGTTTACTTGTTTGAAACAGCCATAGCCTAAATCGACGAACGGGAAGAAAAATGGGTACCGTGATGAAGGCGGGGGAGAAGGAAGAGGTCCATAGTGAAGAAGATGTTGAAAAATAAAGATGGGAAGATGAATTTGAACCTTTTGCTATGAAAATCGCAAAGACTACCGCGAAAGTGGCAAACGCCAATAGAAAGGCGTTCAAGTACTTGGGGATGAAATCTCTCATAACTTTCTCTTTCTAATTCCTATTCCATTATTGTGTTGTGTGTTTGATCTTGTGAGACAGAGATAGTGATAGTGCTGAAACGAAGGAGATTTCAAATGAGCCAAATAAAGAGTCTCTCTCACACAACATAACTACTTCACATTATAGTGATTTACAAAGAAAAAATAATACAAGGATGTCAAAACTCGACGACTCCTTGTTTAATGGCCTACCATGTATAAAGAATACACGCGTTCAAGCCTTGTGATACATCCATCAAACACTGTGTATAATGAATATTTTGTTGGCCTGCCTCTAACTTTTTATGAGAGCCTTAGACAAATATTATGGGCCTTTAGATTGGCCCATTAACATAATTTGAAAACCTGTATAATAAAATAACAATGTGGCCCATCAATGTCACTTCCACCTTTCCATATATTTTTGCTTTCTCATCGTAAACAGCCGTCAAAACGACATCAATGGCAGTGCACGCTGTTCGATTGACGCCGGCGACTCAGCTTCGCGGCGGAATCTCTGGCAATCTGTCACCATCCTATCACAAACTCAACACCTTCGTCCGATACGGATGCGGATCTCCAAAGCGTTACCGTACCGTAACCGTCTTGGCGGCACTCCGGGAAGACGATGCAAATGGTAGGGACAAGTCCGTGAGAGCTATGGAAGTGAAGAAGATTCTTGAAGACTCTCCTCTGCTTCCTAGTATGGATTCGATCATTTTCCCACTTTTCGATTCCTTTAGTTACATGTTTGAGCTACAATCAAATCAAGTTTCTGCGACGGATAGCTTCATTTGCAGTAGAAATAATGTATAGATAGTTAAGAAGTAGCTTGGTTTGTTTTTGCTAGAAGAAGCTCAATTTAGTGATGATTGGTCTGTTTTGGTTTATCAATAATAGAGCCGTTATCATCAAACCAGCTCGCAGAATCTGTCCCCAATGGCTCCCGCGTTCGTGTTGCGTATCAGGTAAATTATACACAGGAAGTCAGGTGTTTCTGATCTTCATATGTTTTGGGGTTTTATTTGGCTAATGATTGTCTAATTAGGGAGTACGAGGTGCGTACAGCGAATCAGCAGCTGAGAAGGCTTATCCAAACTGTGAAGCTGTTCCATGCGAAGAGTTTGACACTGCATTTGAGGTTTGAATCTGCTCTTCTTGTTTGCTACTTTTCGTTAATCAAGACTGAGATTGGGAAATCCATAGAAGATTTTGTTGTTCATAATGTTAGTTTAGGGAAATATCATCTACTTTCGTTTGTGGAATTTGTATTTAACAGTTTTATAGAACCCCCTAGTATTGATTGTTTTCAAATAATGAAACAGGTCAATATTTCATTCATGCACATCTGTCTTAAGTTTTTGTTCCCGTTATTAGACTTCAGCATTTTCAAATCTTTGTTCTTGTTTTAGGCCGTTGAGCGGTGGCTTGTTGATCGAGCTGTTTTACCAATTGAGAACTCTTTAGGTGGAAGTATCCATAGAAACTATGATCTTCTGCTGCGACACAATTTGCATATTGTAGGTGAAGTCAAGCTAGCTGTCCACCACTGTTTGTTGGCTAACCACGGTGTAAATATTGAAGATCTAAGAAGGGTGCTTAGCCATCCACAGGTACCCTGCATGCCTTTGTGCATAATCGAATTCTTTTTGTCTCTTGATATTATCCAAAGCCTTAACCGTTGTCTTTGGATCAGGCTCTCGCCCAATGTGAAAACACGTTAACCAAATTGGGGTTGGTCAGAGAAGCAGTAGATGACACTGCTGGTGCTGCAAAGGTAAGTTTTATGTTCCAAATGTGTTTATACTCGCACTCACAGTTTACAGTGGCAGCTAAATAAGTTTATGAATTTAATTTGCAGCAAATTGCGTTTGAAAAATTAAATGATGCAGCAGCAGTTGCCAGCGCAGAAGCTGCAAATATATATGGTTTGAACATAGTTGCTGAAGATATCCAGGTATTATAGAGTTTCTGGATGCCTTTCCCATTTTTTCATTCATATCTTTACACTTCTGGATTATTTGATAGTGAAGTGCAATCAATGTAGGATGACTGTGATAATGTTACAAGGTTTCTAATGCTTGCAAGGGAACCCATTATCCCTGGAACTAACAGACTCTTCAAGGTGAGAAATCCAATGTTACTTACCAAATTCAAACGTACCTCTGCTATTTAACAATGTATATCTCGCTGATGAATGAGTTAATTATGATCTTCTTTTAGACAAGTATAGTTTTCTCCTTAGAGGAAGGGCCTGGAGTACTTTTCAAAGCACTTGCTGTGTTTGCCCTTAGGCAAATCAACCTCACAAAGGTTAGTTAGTAGACTCAATGTCCTCCTTCTAATTTGCAGCCTTGTTTAGAAGCAGTCTGGTTTCCAACCCTTAACAATCAATTATCTTGTCGTTTTGATCAGATTGAAAGCCGCCCTTTAAGGAAACGGCCTCTGCGAGCATCCGGAGGGTTAAAGTAATTTCTCTCACAATCCACTCTTAAGTCTGTACCATAACCCACAGGTTCTTAGTAATGATGAAAGGTGCCTCTATCTTGTTTTGCTTGACAGATACTTTGATTATCTTTTCTATGTGGACTTTGAAGCATCTATGGCTGATGAAGTTGCTCAGAACGCACTTAGGCATCTCGAGGTAAAGCCTTTGGTTAATTGATCTGATAACATGTTCATGTGACTGAGATTCTGGTTTCTTTGTTTTGCTTTTTGCAGGAATTTGCTACTTTTTTGCGGGTACTAGGAAGCTACCCAGTGGACACTACAATGCTCTAAACAATTCCAAAATTTTCTTGGTAAGTAATCCGTAGGTTTGCATTGGAAAGTGTAGAAAAACATCAATGTCCAAGGAGGATTATATAGGTATCAAGAGAGTTTAAATCTTTGAATAGTTTGTGACAGAGATCCCACTTGATCATATCATTGTTCCGGTGTAAGAAGAGCTTAAGCAGCGAGGGGAGGTCAGAGGAGTCAGCAGTGGCATTTGACAAGACATTCCGCTTTTTTACAAGTTCTGAGATCGGAGGAGTCCCCAGTTGCACCTTTGTTTTTAGTAGTAGTAAGAATAGTCAGATATCAGAAACAATAAGAAAGAACCTACTGAGTTTGTGTTTTCATCCATACATAGATACTTCATCCTATTATGTGTTCTTTTATAGAAATTCTGATGAGAGTTACATATCTGCATACAATACAACTACATTAAGTTTCTATTTTTGTAATTGTAGAATCGACGACGTTTCAAAATTTGATTGATCGACTATTAATGGTAGTTTTTTTTTAAGATGTTCGAGTTAACGATGTGTTTTGTTATTTAAACTTGATAAAACTTGCAAGTTAAATTTCGTAAATCTAAAATCGGATTGTAAATTATTGTGGTTCAGATTTGATAACATTGAGAAAAAGAGGGACTAGATAACAAATATAAAGAAATTAGGTTTCTTCTTGCGCAATATGCTGAAGGAAGATTAAACGAGTATTGCTCAGCTGTTGTCAAGCTAAAGAAAACTGAAAAACTCTTTGTCGACTTTGGGCAATGAAAGTAGCGGAGAAGATCGTATTCCTCTGGAAAGATTCCGATGGATTCGCGGCAACCATTGCCGATGCTCTAAACCCTAGCCCTAGTTCCCCTCTTCGCAAACTGTAATCAGTTCTACCTTTCCTCGATATCGCTCGTCTCTTCCGTCTCAATACTCTACTTGACATTGTAATTCATTGCAGAGAAGAACAGATCCAGCTTCCCTTGGATAAGTATGGCGTCCATGATGATGTCGGGACCGGCGGGAGTATCGTTCATTTCGTCGATGAAAATGGAGTTTACCAGGTTCTTCCTCTCTCACCATCGTGTTTTCCTTTTTAGTCCAGCAACTATCGATTCCGCAGAAATTAAGTGGCTTTCTCGTCGAGATCAGTGATTCCTAGCTTCATTCGAGTTTGTTTCTCGCTTATGATAGACAGTCACTGTCTGGTCTATTCTATTCAACATTACATGGGGCTGTGTCTGTAAGCTCCTCTAGAACTTGTTGTTTGTCCTGAGAATTGAAATTTATTTCGTGGCAGTTAAGCTGGAGAGTAGTTAGTGGTGACCTTAGTGTGTCATACATTGTACAAGATATGATATGTTAACTAATCGACTGTGTCAAATCTGGTATCTGTAATATGATGGTTGATTCTTGGGGATATGCGGCTGTACTGGAATTTGTGTTTATTTTTTGCTTCACTAGTTGATTGCTTCGATAATTTGATACCTTGAATTGAAGCTAAAGCCCTTATGAGACAAAAACTGATAAGTCTCTTCTTCTTAGGTGAGGATGCTTAGAGGTTGTATATAAGATGAGTGAAAGCACTAACAGTCGCTTTTCCCATAGGAGCTAAGTCGAACCTAAATTATGATATAGGACTAGCTCTAAGCTTGATTAGATTTAGGCCTTTGTCCTTTTGTGATAATGATTTAGCCGCTTGTACCTTTTGTTCATCAGTATCATGGTTATGTTGCAGAACTTGATTTCATGTTTTCTTATTTGAATGCGCATTTCTGGAATATGATAATAGCATGGTTACATCGCTTAACTTTCTGATTATTTCTTACATTGTTTAAAGGTCTCGATATTTCTTCTTCGAAGCTATGAGCCTCCTGTGCTAGTGTGTGCTATGAATGAACTGCTGGACCAAATTACAAGGGAGGCGTCAACTTTACCCACAATTGTGGCTCCTTTTCTTGTGGCGGCATCTAAGCTGAAGTTCAATAACAGATCCCTTGAAGCAAATAACAAAAAGACTAGTCTTTATTACGTTCAAGTTGGTACAGAAACAGAGACCAGTAGGTTATTTGCTTCTCGCATAGAGAAACCACCGCCACTGATGCAGATCAATTGTGAACCTTTGTCATGCTTGCTTCATCTAGCTCGTGTAAAATGCTTGCCTACCTGTATTCTCATTGGACAAAGAAGCAGTAGCATATATCGTAAAGCTCTAGAGGAGGAGGAGCTACAGGTAATCTTTTGCTTAACAAACTTGTATCAGCTTCTTGCTCATTTTGATGGAGAGTTTTGAATCCACTAATACTCTGCAAGGCCACTTACTAGGAACATCCACATGAATTAAAAAAAAAATCTATTGACAGTTCTAAGAGAAGTTAGAGTTTCAACTGAAATGCGGGGTTTTGTGTAATTGTGATATCATCACACAGGTGATACATGAAACAGGGGAGCTGGTGGCAAGTTGGAGCGGACTGTGTATGTCAAGAGAGAGAATCAAGTGGAGCGCAGCAAAGACATCTAAAGAAGAGGAAAGTCCATGGCGTGCTCTTTACGGTTAAACAGACTTATCAGGTCAGGTGAGGTGAGGTCTTTTTCAATGGCCCAACACTGCGATATCAGAGTCTTTGCTAGTTAGTTGGGCCTGGCACTAAATTTCCCTCTATAGTTGTTAAAAAAACATCACTTTTTGTGCTCTCACTCAGCTTAAAGAAATCCATGTCACACACTGACTAAGCCTTTTGCTAGGATATTTATGAGAAAGAAACAGTATTATAATTTTATTTTGGTGGCTGGATCTGGTTAGAACAAATCTTAAAAGAGTCGAACATTGAAAAGCAAATAGAATAATGAATGAAAAGGTAAACATTATAATTAAGGTCAACTCATGGGGGGGGGGGTGGGGGGGGGATGTCACTCAGCACAGCTAATGGGGGTGTCCTAGGAGGACTGGAGAAGGGAGTGTATAATAATAATAATAGAAATGATTATGTATGATTGGATGGTGGGAGAGGCATAAATAAAAGAAAGAGATTAATAAAAATTGAGGAGAAATGAAAGTGCATAAAAAAAGGCACTCAAGGGGAAGTAAGTTAAGTAATCCTATAAAGAAAGAGATTAATTAGTAGAGTTGTTAATGTTATCTATTAAGAAGAAGAAGAAGAAGCAAATAAGTGAGGTGTCGTCAGCTGTGTAAGCCGGTGGTATAATAATGATTGATAATTGATATAATTCGTGAAGAAGAGAGAATACGATGTTTTTTATTTATTTTTTGGTAAAGAAAAGTGTTTTTCGGATCGTCCGAGAATCTTATCCGACTCACATATCAGCATCATAATAATATGTTTTTTTAATTGTAATGATCTTTTTAGTGCGTCTTATCGTCTCCCCCTTTTTTTTTTTGTTTTTTTTAAAAAAATTAGTTTGTTTGCTTTCTTTTATATCGTTGATTGATTATATTCACTTGGTCTTTTTCAGGGTGGGAAGATTTTTTTAATCAATAATTTATTCAAGTTTAAAGGTTCATGCTATTATCATTAATAAGTTGCTTTAAATTTTATCATTCGGCTTTGATTGGATACGAGTCTGAATGATATATCCATAATCTTAATACTAATAACGTTAAGCATTAGTCCATAAGCTTTAATTATAAACCAATCAATGATAGATAATTATTTTGTTTGCATTAAAAAAAGTAATGAAGGGAAAAAGGACAAAAGAGATGTATCATCATCGCTGAATTTGATTGATATAAGAGCAATAGAGTTATATAGAAGAGAAGCGGCTTTCTTTAAGATTATATACTAACATCATTAGTTAAATATTTATATCTCTTTATGGGTTGGTCTGAGAAAGAAAGAGAGAGAGAGAACCTAAGACGAGACGAGGAGACGTATCTAAATTTGGCAGATTTTTTTTTTAAAATTTTTGTATAGATTTATTTTGGTTATCTTCTTTATAACTCTCTCTCTTCTAGGAGCATCAAATAAAAATATCTTTTCATTGCGACCGAACCAAAGAGAAAGTAGAGATATTTGTGTAAGAAATACGCCCACCGAAAAAAAAAAGAAAAAAGAAGAAGAAGAAAGATAGATAGATATTTTGGTCTTTGTTGTAGCTCAAAGGGAAGAAGGTCAAAGGCAATAATAATAATAATAATAATACAAAAGTATTTTGTTGAGAGATTTCATAAAGAGAGAGAGAGAGTTTGTGAATTGTGATTCGTCTAATAATAATACATCCAGCCACTTGGTAACTTCCACGTCGCGAGTAGGCGGGGTATTAATCTTATACTCTCAAGCGCGTCATGTGAACCAAAACTACTTATCTGTTTTTTTTTTTTTTTTTTAATTATTATAAAAAAAAGGAAAAGATAAGTGGGGTCATAAAAAAGTTTTTATTGCTTTCACTATAAATACGACAGGGACCCACTCTACCCTACACACGAACCTTTTTGTGCACTTTTTCGTGTTTATTTATTTATTTAAAAAAATTTTAAAACAAAAAAAAAGAAGAAGAAGAAGAAGTAGGCACTTTTTTTTTTTTGTTTGGTTTGATAATAATCGCTCAGATTATGATGATGTCACGAGTAGAAGGAAGGAAGGAGCCTCTATTCTCTCTAATGCCTACATGTCCCTTTGCAGACACACCCACCCATTCTCTATCCTTTCATTTCTTCCTTCCTCCCTCTCTTTTTTTTTTTTTTACTTCCTTCTAATTTATTCATTCAGACACAGAGAGAGAGAGAGAGAGAGAGAGAGAATAGAACCAGAAGCAGCAAGAAAGAAGAAGTTATCTGTGATTAATCAAATCATCTGCTCTCTGTTTCTCTATCAGGCTTTTTTTTTGTTGTTGTTTCTTCTCTTCTTTCTCTTTTACAGAAAAAGGTTTCTAGATTCAACCTGTGACGATAGTTTTCTACCCCTCAAGAGCAGCACCGCATCTTTCTTTACGTGAGTGTTTTTTTTAATTCCTTCTTGCTTTCTTTCTCTCCGTCTGTCTTCGTTGTTTAATCTAATTAGTCTTAATGCTTTTGATTACTCTCACTCTTTTTCATCATTTGATCCTAATAAGTGTTTATTTTCATTCCTCCCTCTTCTTCTTCTTCTTCTTTCTTTTCTTTTTTTTTACCTCTGTCTATCTTCTTTCTTTCTGAATTGTGTTGAATTTGGATCTCTTGATTCTGGGATTTCTCAATTAAAAAAAAAAGGTTTGATTTTCCTTTTTCTCGGGAATTGATAATTTGTTTTTCCCGATTTGGTTCCTTTTATTTTCAACTATCCAAGTCAAACATAAAACTGTAGTAGATTTACTGATGATGATCTGGTACTTGCTCCTTTTTTCTCTTTTTCTAATTCTTTTCTGGGTTTTTTTGGTCTCTGATTAGGTTCTCTTTTAATCAAAGGAAAAAAGCTCTGTGTTGTTTTGTTTTAGCGAAAATCTCTTCAAGTTAGGTTTCAAGTTTCCCTTTTTTTTTTTTTTTTTTAATCTAATCCTTCTCCTTTGGGGTTAGGGTTATTTCATCGATCCTTCCACCTTTTTTTAGAAATCACTTACCTATCTATATTCAGTTTTATTTTTTTTTTGGTTTTTTTAAAAATTTTTTGTATCAATGATTCCATCTATTTCTTCTCCAAGACTCTGCTTTTATTTCTTCTATTACCAAGTGTCCATTTTTGTATGTGTGTTTTAGCCTAGTTTGAGTAATTTATGACATTATTGCTTGTTAACAATATATATAGGAAGTTGATTTGGTCAAAAGAGTCAAGGAAGGAGAGATGGGTTACATGTGTGACTTCTGTGGTGAACAGAGATCTATGGTCTACTGTCGATCAGATGCTGCTTGTCTGTGTCTCTCTTGCGACCGCAGTGTTCATTCCGCTAACGCATTGTCCAAACGACATTCTCGCACTCTCATCTGCGAGAGATGCAATGCTCAGCCTGCTTCCGTCAGGTGTGTCGAGGAAAGAGTTTCCCTTTGTCAAAACTGTGATTGGTCTGGCCACAGCAACAGCAACAACAATTCTTCCTCTACCTCTTCTTCTTCTTCCCCGCCGCAGCATAAGAGGCAAACCATTAGCTGCTATTCTGGCTGCCCTTCTAGCTCAGAACTCGCCTCTATTTGGTCTTTCTGTTTGGACTTAGCCGGGCAATCCATTTGTGAACAAGAATTGGGTTTGATGAATATAGACGATAATGTTCCTACTACCGACAAAATTTGTATTGAGGATAAGAAACAAGTCTTGCCCGGTTCCTCTTCAGTTCCTGAAACCAGTTCTGCTGCACAAGGGACTTCATCATTTGCTAAGAAGGTAGCTTTTTTTTTTTTTCTTTCTCTCAATTTATGTTATATTTACTTTTTGGTTTTTTCTATCTAATTTTACTAAATTCGACTTGTTGTTTGTTTCTTTTGTGTAAAGGATGTTGGAGTGTGTGAAGATGACTTCTATGGGAACCTAGGTATGGATGAAGTTGACTTGGCGCTTGAGAACTATGAAGAGCTCTTTGGTGTCGCCTTTAACCCCTCCGAAGAGCTATTTGGCCATGGTGGAATCGATAGTCTTTTCCAGAAGCACCAAACAGCTCCAGAGGTTTTTATCCATTACCTTGCTTAATTTTAGTCATTTTACATTTCCAATTGGATGCATCTCTCTGTGTGTGTGATTCTAATAGTAAGCTTTTTTTTTTTTTTCTCTGGTAATCTAGGGAGGGAATTCAGTGCAGCCAGCATGCAGCAATGACTCGTTCATGAGTTCGAAAACTGAGCCAATAATTTGCTTCGCATCGAAGCCAGCACATTCGAACATTTCCTTCTCTGGAGTCACTGGTGAAAGTAGTGCTGGAGATTTCCAAGAATGTGGTGCATCCTCTTCGCTGCAGCTCTCAGGCGAGCCACCATGGTATCCTCCAGCATCACAGGATAACAATGCTTGCTCACATTCAGTAACCCGTAATAATGCAGTTATGCGTTACAAGGAAAAGAAGAAGGCTCGCAAGTAAGTAGTAGTACTCTGCAAATGCTGTTCATGCGCATCAATAGTAGTTAGTGGGTGCAGGGTTTTCCTAATGATATTTTTTTTTCTTGAAACAGGTTTGATAAGAGAGTGAGGTATGCTTCTCGCAAAGCAAGAGCAGATGTGAGACGGCGTGTAAAGGGGAGATTTGTCAAAGCTGGTGAAGCTTATGATTACGACCCTCTCACCCCAACTAGAAGCTATTGAAGAGTGTCTTTGAAAGGTAAACAAAGGTAGATACAGATAGCAAGAAAATCCGAACAAGAAAGGTTTTTGACTTATGGGAAAATTTCAAGTGAGCAACTTGGAAAAGATTGTGGGTTATAGTTGTTAACAAAACAAGACTACTCTAGTTTGAACAGATCCAAGACTGACTCTTTGTAAGCAAAGCAATCATTCATTCTCGGGATTCAATTGGTTTTTTGTTGTGGCCTCAGAAGCTTCATTCTTGTTCAGAGGGAGGAGGGATCATTCTCTGACTTTCCTTGCAAAAAACAATTACCCCAAACTCCGATTTCTTCTTCTTCAGGCGTCTCACTGATCAAGGTTCCATGAGTTTTGTTCTTTTCTTGGTAGTTTAAAGCAGCAGGAAGATTTAGAGTAATTTAAACAATATGATTGTATATGCATGCCTGTCTATTTGTCTGTATACTCCCATAAATGTTTTCTATTTTTGTACTCGCGGCATTCTTGTAAATTAAAGACGTTATCCAGAATCTATCTATCAGACAAAGTTATGTGGTACCACTTAATAATCTAAGTCACGTTCTGTAACAACCGTCTGGTTCAAGCATAACGAGATTTTTGGTTAAAAGAGGTTGCTTACACAGTTGAATCAACTGACTTGATCTAACGATTTTAAGTCATGAAGCAATAACAAAACTTGGGAACTTTTTTTTTTGGTAGAACCAAAACTTGGGAACTTAATGTATCATATGTTATAGTGTATGATAATAATATTGTACCAATAATTGTTTAATATCATATCGCCATAAATTCTGATTTAAGCAATTTAGGCGCTAAATCATCGTTTACCTAACAACACCTACCGATTTAAGCAATTTCTGAAATCTGATATGTTTATTAAAAACTCGATTTTAAAAGTGTTGTAGAAGCAAAATATGTTATTTTTCTAGCTCATGGTTATCAATTGAGTGTATTTTTTTTTTTATTACATGCGCGTAACTTTCTTGAAGACTTATTACTACACCAAAAATATGTAACCCTTATATAGACAAACGGAACTAAGATGAACGCGATCAAGAAAGAAACTTGTCCAATTTGATTTGCTGGCACCGATTTTAAAACATTGACCAAAGGCTAAGGAAAGAACGAAGAGAAGAGTCTTCAGATACAGACTCAGGCAGCAAAGTTTTTTGGCTTAGCTCAGAAACTTAAAAAAAAAAAAAAGAGAGCTAAATAAAGACCTCTTAAAACTAAGAAAGCAAAAATTTTTGCTAAAACAAAAAGATACAGAAACACCAAACCACTGGATTCATAAAATACCTTCCCCTAGCCTTTGATCATTCTCTGTAAACCCCCTTTTCATGCTTAAAGCCTTCAACTTCATAGAGCTTCATTTCTTTGGTAATTTGTTAGATGGCACACACACACACGCAAGTCAACAAAAACCCGCACCATATCTTTCCTGATTTCTCTGGAATTCGAAACTTGTTGAATCTTCAAAATCTTTTTTATCCTTTATACTTCCTGTTTCAGTAATTACTTGGCCAATTCATCTGCGTTTGCTGCGGCTGTTGGAAGACGTTCGGCGCAGGTGCAACCATTTCAGCTCCAGCCACACCTTGAGACTGTTGCAAGAGCGGATGATGAACTCCTGCTGCTGTTACTGCTTGTCCAGGATGGTACATACCTGGGAACGCAACATGCCCAGCTTGTGCTGGAGCATAAGTCACATGTTGCCCATGGTGCTGTAAGCCGTAGAAAGGGCTTGACACATCCCGTCCTGGTCCAGCAATCCATACAGGCAATGCCTCACTCTGCAGAGACCCCAAGAATATAAATTCATCAGGAAAGGGAACTAAGCTTTCAACTGAGTTGGTTTAGGGAGAGAGAGGGGATGGATACCTGTTGCCCTGTTGTGCTGTAGCCGTTGTTTTCTTTCAACTGTAATGAGTTGAGATCCTCATTGGAAGTCGAATTCCCGGCTGATGCGGCAGAGGTGGGATTATATCCTGCTGGGAAGGACCCATATGATGGTCCGTAACCACCAGGCATACCGACATGAGCCATGCTTCCTGTATTAGTCCCGGGCTTGTAATGAGGGAGTGTATATTTGCCTCCTGTTGCAGCTCCAGGGGGTGGAGGAGCAGGATAAACCCCACTTGCCTGAGGTTGCTGGGCAAATGCACCATTGCTTAAGAACTGGTGCATTGTCGGGGGAGGTAGATAGAATGGGGAGAAGTAGTGTCCGTACTGCACGTAGTTTGGTGGATAATGTGACATATGTAAACCAGGGGGGCGAAACACAGGAACAGGCTGCTGTGTGACAGGTATAGAGCTCTGCATTAGTCCAGTCGCCTGAGTTACCAGTGGTGGTGGACTAGCAGTAGACAGAACTAAGTTATTTCCACCCTGCAAATCAACATGTTCAAGCATTTTAGACACAGAAAAGTAATAGTATATGTTTGTAACAGCTTTTATCTTTTCCTCTTTCAAACGTATTATAATGCATCTGAACATAAGAATTTAAAGACCAATTAACAACTGTAGATTCACGTCAAGGTTGTCGAGAAGATAAAAAGGAGAATTAAATCCAAGGGGCTGACATGAAAAATTTGACTTTTAAATTGAAGCTACTAATGTTGGAAGATTGAATGTAATGATAAACGAACGAATCTCCAAATCATCTTTAATTAGGTCAAAATCACGAAGTTGTGAATTATATAATTAAATATAAGGTTAACCCCCAAAAGGCACTGACCTCTTGCATGGTTTGAGATGAATGCGGAGGCATCATGGTAACATTCCCATTAAATTTGGAGGCAACACCTGGGGAAACAAAGGGAGAAACACGGCCGTCACTTTCAGGGCCTGAGCGGTAGAATTGAGCATAGTAACTCGCTGTATCATATGGTTGTTGGAACTTCAAAACAGCAAAAAATAAAGATAATTTAGAAGATAAATTGCAGATGATAATAACGAAAGGCTATGTAATGAGCAAAACGTTACTGATCGATGAAGAGTAAAAGCTTGGTGTATAACTAATAGTTTAAGTCGATCAACCATATAAAAACCTAACAACTTAAAATTAATTTGAAGGCATACCACAAAATTGGGAATACGAAGGCCATCACGTGCTTGAGGGTCAGAATTCTCAAATTCTTGAAGCTGGCTCCCAGGAGCTGGAGGAACAAGACCATTAATATTACTTGGAACATGGTCAAAAGAGTTTTGATTGCTTTCAGACTCCAACATATTCTCTTGCTTGGAGACATCATACTCTGGAGCTGCATTTGTTGCAGTAATACCTTCACCAGCCATAGTATCTGGAACTTGTGAAGGCGACTCGGAGTAAACATTATTTTCCTCTTCCTTTTCAGTCGAATGGACAGTTGGGTGACTGAAGAAATAAGAAAACATTCACTTAAGCACTGGTCATATAAATAAATACAGTCATATTTCAAGACATCAAAGTTCGGTACCTAGAAATGAAAAGAGTTAGGTATTGTGTAGCTCATTAAGTGCTCATAACGGAAAGATCATTACGACTTCCAGAAAATTAGTTCTGGGACCCATGCTACAGCACAAAACTTCTATCTGTTTCGAACTTAGGAGCCAAGCAGGACAAAGAGTTGTTTCTAGAAACAAAACAGACTAAACCATCAACACTACTAGATCAACTGACACCCTACAGCATAAAAAAGGATATATGTTCTAGAGCCTGATGTACACAATAGTGTTTTGGAACTTTCAACAATGTTACTAAAGGAAGCACGTGAACTACACTAGGAAATTTCTTTTACTTTTTTCCATCAGTAATTTATTATTAACAACTTCTTTCCAGCTTACTTAACTCTAACTTGAGAATCTATAACTCCATCAACAATAATTGACTTGACAAAGCGAGAAAGGTAGATACCTAAATTCCTCCTCTTCAAAACTTTCTTCAACTTCCTGTGAATCATGAGAGAGAGGTGCAGATCTCTTTTCATTCTCTGGACAGGCTACTGAGCTAGACGTAATACAAAAGCCAGCATCAAAGCTTCCAAAGCTTAGCTTGGTTCGTTCAGCCTCTGGAACAAGAATATGGTTTGGAATAATAACATGCTGTCGTTGAATCTGCAAGTCTTCAAGCTGCCTCTGCAATCTAGATGTGGCCTCTGCTGAAGGGATAGCATTTTCAACAGATTTTTCACTTGCTTCAGTAGGACCTGCAAGAGCTTCACCTGTAGATGATGCACCAGAACCCTGGGTAGTGTTATGGTGCACTGGCTTCGGTTTCCATTCCTTAATGGAACCAGCACCTAGAAACAAGCATCATGACATGAAGATGTCAGAAGATTACAGTTATTGTGGAAATGAGAAAAAGAAATACAATAATGAAGAGCTATCTTAGACAAAAAGTGTTTCCTATAAAAGCAATGTCAGATATTTCTGATTTATACACACAGTTTATCACCTGTAATATATAGTAAATGTTAAATGTATCACTGTTACCTCTTTGAGGACCAACAGTCTGATGTGACCGATTACTGTAGTTAGAAGAAGGCCGACTACCCGTACTGTTGCTATGAGATGAAGCAGGCCTGGGAGCATAAGTATCATTACTGGCAGTCTTCCCAGCCCCACGAGATCTGGAAACGTGTTGTTCATGTGCTGTTTGCTCTGATTTGGGATTCGCAGATGTGAATCGAACCTCAGAGGAGGATGGATGAGGGAGTGGCAGAGAATCAACCGATTTCTGTTCAGTAGGCACATCCTTAGAGCCAACTGCCACATGGTTTTTGTTCAATTCCACAGAAGATGGAGCACCCTCAATGTTGTTTGAAGCGACGGAAGATCCAGTAGCTTTAAGCTGACCAGAACTAGCTGGTAGGTTGGAAGAATGATGAACATCAGAGCTTCCTGATGTCAGATCAGCAGTATTTTTATTCATCCCGGCTGAATGGCTGTCAACAATAACAAAAAAAAAAAACAAACATCATGAGAAGGTTCATCTATTGAGTATAACCATGCTGAAAGAAAACCCCAACCCCTGGCTTTCACTGTGGGTGTAAATACATTATACATCCACTATGTCAGATATGATAAAGGAGAATGATAGATAAAAGGGACTAGAACGATAGGATGACAATCACCTTGACAACAGAGCAATATCTTTTGTTTTTATCTCTTGAGAGGTTGAAGTTGATGGATCAGTGACCTGCTTTGGACCATTTTCTTTTCTGAAAGAATTCTTCGCACCAGCAACATCTGATTAGAAATAAACATTCACAACAGACAGTTCATCAAATTACAGGTGGTAAGCTTATGGACTGCCACTAAGGAACTTTCTCTATCACATTCTTTCGTTGGAAAAACTAAAAGCCATTCATGAACACATGTAATATGTCCTAATGCTGCATACAAAGAGATTCAAATTTATCTGACTGTCAAAAAAATTGAGTTAGCCTAATTGTTGTTTACCATGTGATGCATGACGCGAAGAGAAATTCATCCGACCAGCCCTGCTACCACGTCCTGCGCCACTAGATCTCCATAGTGATTCAGCAGAATCCTTGTTGCCGGTGTTCTGTA